AAAGAAAGAAAGAAAGAAAGAAAGAAAGAAAGAAAGAAAGAAAGAAACAGTCAGGTGTGATGGTGCATGGCAGTAATCCCAGCCCTAAGGGATTACATAGAGACAGGTAGATCTCAATGAGTTTGAACCCAACCTGGTCTAAAAGCAAGGACAGGCAAGGATACACAGAGAAACCCTGTCTCAGAAAACAACAACAACAACAAGAGAGAGAGGTAAATCAGGCTGGAGTTCTGGCTTGATGGCTATGTCTATGCCTCCTAGAAACAAGGCAGAGTTCATTCCCCAGGGGATGGGGCCTGTTCCTCTCTGCCATCACTAATTTTAGAGCACTGGTAAATAACAAGTGAAAGCTGGTTATTTCTTGAGTTTCTGTTATCCAGGACATGTGCTATGAATTTATCCAATATTTTAATTGATATTAAGATTCAGTTTAAATATGACACTGTTTCTCTGGTTTATTAAGGCTGTAGTATCAGAAATTGACAGGGTGTGTTCTGTAGAGCAGGGCTAGCTCTAACACTGCTAGCAGTTTTATTTCCTGCTTTGGGAAAGAACAATATCAGAAGCCCTTTGGAATGCTTTTGTTTGCTTATTGATTATTTGTCTTCTTTTGGGGCCTTACAACTAAGCTTACAACGAAGGCAAACAATATGAAGCACATTTTTTAAAAAGCTTTGTCAGGACTTGGGCTTTTCCTGCTCTGGTTAATAGTATCAAAAGCGATATCATATCGTTGCTATTTTGGAACTGGTACCAGGATGATAAAGTAGAGAAAATTCACAACTGGTTTGAAAGAGATGCCAGCTACAGTTACTGCTACAGGGAACATATTCTAAGAAGACTGTTGTAGAGAGACTAAACATTTCGAGTATGTTGGGCAAAATGGAAGATCTTGGTTAAGGGATATTGTGTTACTTCCTGAGACTATGAAGTGAGGAACTGAGGCGTTGACCATTTATGTGAAATAATTAACATGTTGCTCTTGCAATTGCAGAGATCTGAGTAGAAACCTGATCCATGAAATTCACAGTGGAGCTTTTGCGAAACTTGGGACAATTACTAACCTGTAAGCAAATGGATGTTTGTGGGCAGTAGTACCATGAAGGTAGTAAATGGTCTACAAAACATGTGGTCAGATCAAAGTATTTATTTCTTACTTTATGTAAATGCTATACTGTGATGATATAGTATCAGCTTTTTAGATGTCAAGACCTTTTTAACACATCTAAGCTTCATTTTACTTATCTAAAATATACCTAATATTTTTCTGTTACACATAAATAAGATAAAATTATGTAATCATAAATATTTAACATTTATAATACTAATATATATGCAAACATTTTCCTTTTTTATCTTTATATGTATTCTGTGTGTGTACGCGTGTGTGCATGTGTGTGCGTGCACATTCTGCATGTGCCGCAATGTGAATGTGGAGGTTAAAAGTCAGCTTTGGGAGTGGGTTCTCTAATTCTACTGTGTGGTGTCTAGGGACTGAACACAGGTTATCAGGCTTCAAAGTGCCTTTACCAGCATCTTGGCAGCCCGATAGAGATACTTGCATGTGATTTGTATCTTAGAGCGTTAACTTGAAGTGTGTTTCACATTTTAGGGATATAAGTTTCAATGAATTGACTTCTCTTCCTACGGAAGGCCTGAATGGGCTCAATCAACTAAAACTCGTGGGCAACTTCAAGCTGAAAGATGCCTTAGCAGCCAGAGACTTTGCTAATCTCAGGTATGTTTGTGACCATTCTTCCTTCCTGTTAGTTATGATAGGCCCCAAATTCTGAGCCTCCTATTTTTTTCCTTCCCCTGTGGTTTCCAGATTTTCCTGATAGGTTGTAGGAGTGTTTTCTATTTCTAACCTTCCTAATTTGGTCAAAAGAGAACACTGTCCCATGGTTTTCAAGAGCATGGATTAAGCTCTGGATTCTCTTGGAAAGATGTTTGTCAGATTTTTTTTTTTTTTAAATGGATTTGTCATTAGCAACAAGATATTGGAAATGTCCTAAGTGCGAACAGACAGGAAGCTGGCACAGTGCCATCACATGTCCTGAGACTGCAGATTCATTTCATTAAAAGCAGCAGCAAAATGGCTTGAGCATATTCCTGTACAAAGAGAGAATATGTTCACTTCATTTTATATGAGCAAAGCAAGGCTGACTAATGGTGCAGAGCTACAGGTGACCTGGGGTATTGATTTTAAATGGGCTATCCATTTCCTATGATTCACTAGGCCATGGTTCAGACATGCATAAAAGGATCACTGAGATATTTACTCTAAATTGATGCATGGTTATGAAATTATAAATATGGCTTGATTTGTATCCGCATATTAAAAAAACAACTCATTAAAGGGGGAAGCTTCAGCTGTGTTCATGAGCTTTATCAGAGCTCTGAAGAAGATGGTCTGGGGAGGATACACAGCCAACCTGAGGCGTCAGCCTGAGGCGTGTGCCAGGATGACCAGGCTGTGTTCAACCAAGTCCTGTCTTCAAGCCTAGTATTCAGTGTTTTACAATTCTTTTTCCAGGTCTCTGTCAGTACCATATGCTTATCAGTGTTGTGCATTTTGGGGGTGTGACTCTTATGCACATTTAAACACAGAAGATAGCAGCCTCCAAGACCGTGGTGTGACAAAGGAGAAAGGCAAGTGTGTCCACTCTAATAGAGAACTCCCTAAAGCATTAATCAACCTGTCCTTATTGTAATCAGTTTGAAAAGGATCAGTACAAAATCCGTGAGGAAAGTAGCATTTACTGTGTTACCTGAATAAAAAGGCGTATCTAATACATTCTTTGACAATTTCGTGCATGTATATAATGTATCTTTTTCATATTCAACCCTAATGCCCTCCCCATTCCCCCTGGCTCCCTCCATGAAATAGCATGTTTAATGCTATTAAGCCTTACATAAGTTGTCCTTGCACTAGTCATATAAAAGGGAAATTCGGTCCTTGTGAACTGTGTACCATTTAGATTCTATGTCCTTTGTTTTATGTTCAGGTGCCACTGGTGCAGCGAATGTCACCAGTGCTGCTGAAGATGAAGAGCATAGCCAGATAATTACCCACTGTACGCCTTCAACAGGTAGTCTGCACCCAACCTATGTGACTATAGCTTCTCAGGGTAGCATTGGGTAAATAGACCTAAAATATCTGGGGATGGATGTAATTTCTACAGGTAAGGGAAGGATTAGATAACCCAACAGAGCCATTTTTTTTTTTTTAAACTCAGCCTAAGGCTCTTTTGAGAGCTACTTCTAGTAAGTCACTGTAGGGCTCATGTGGGTGTGTGTGGCACGTGTGCGTGGAGGCCAGAGGTCAATGTCAGGTGTCTTTTTCATTTACCCTCACATTTTTTGAGTCAGGGCTGCTTGCTAAACTGGGAATGCTAGACTAAGTGGCCAGTGAGCTGCGGATAGCCACCTGTCTGCCCTCACCTCCCCCAGTGCTGGAGTAACAAACCCAGGCCTGTGTACCAGGATTTGTACAAGGTTGCTGGGGACCCAAACTCTGGTCCACATTCTTGTGAGCTGGTATTTTTACCAGCTTGACTATCTCCCTAGCTTCTTAAATTTTTTTAATGCAGATTTTTACCACTCTTTCTGATCTACTTCTTTGACCTTATTAGTTCTGGGAAAGTTATTAAATTGATATCACATATGTGGTTGCAATTATAATGGCATATTCTGCCCACCCTACTGAAGAAGGTGGACTTCTCCCCACCTGAGCTACAGAAACACATAGATACTGGCAGATACACTAAGACAGAAACAATCTGGAGTAGAATCTATCCTGTAGAATCAGATGCCTTTTGAAGGAGGATGTGGTCTTCCAAAGACAAGAGTGCAATTGTTTGGAAAGTGGCTCCACCCATCCGAGAAGCAGTTCCCAAAGGGTGGTGTTCTTACCAGAAGAGCTCTCTTCTGGTTTGTATTGTTTGTTCGTTTTGTTTTGTTTATTTGGGGGGTGGGTGTCTTATTTATTTGTTTTGTTTGAGACAGGATCTCACTATATATCTCTGGCATGCCTGGAATTCACTACCTTAGACCAGGCTGGCCTCAAATTCTGAAATCATTTGCCTCTGCTTCCAGAGTGCTGGGATTAAATGTGTGTGTCACCTTACCCAGCTTGCTCTTCTTTTTAAAGAGGGCAGAGTTCTGGCTCAGAACTAACAGCAATAAATCGCTTTCTTGTAGAACTTCCCAAGGATACGAAAGCACAATTTCAAAAGTTTATGTTATATAAAAGTGAAAAATTGTATAGAATTGACTTTATAAGAGCTGGTGAAATGGCTCAGAGGGTAAGGGCACTTAACTGCCACGCCTGATGACCTGAGTTCAATCCCCAGGACATACATAGTAGACGAAGAGAATCAATTCTGGCAATGTTCTCTGACTTCCACACATACACTGTTGCATGCATACTCCATAACTGCAAAATAAATAAATATACATGTAATTAAAAAATTGTTTAAAAATATGATACTTTATTGAATATATAAATTTTTATAACTGCTCAGGAAAATAAAATTTACAGTTAGCCAGCTACAATACATCATTTTCTCACTTTGAATTTATAAACAAAACACTCATCATCTGTGTTATAACTAGCATGTGAAAATGAATGGCCAAGACAAGTAGTTCAGCCAGAATGATGTTTATACATTTAATCCTAGCTTTTGGGAGGCAGAAGCAGGGTGATCTTTGAGTTCAAGGTTTGCTTGGTCTACGTGGCAAATTCCAGGATAACCAGAGCATCAACCACTGAATGAGTTCATTGAAACCCAGTCTGTTTCTAAAGGCTGATGTTATACCAAACTTAATTATAAGTAGTTAATATCAATGTGATTTATATATGCAGCTCTACTAGCTTAGTGAGTAACCTTTGTCACATCAGTTAAAGGCTTTCAAATAACAGTTTCTTTGAAGACCAGGTTAATTGTACCTATCTTAACCTGTCTCCTTGGGTTCCTTTTGAAAGCCATGAGAAATGGATGGAAACATGTTTTCAAGTTATGTATATATATATACGTAGTTATAAAGTATTTGGGGACTAGCAAAAGAAGGGAACTGGTGTTCCTTCTTTTTACTGAAGTCTAACAGTATACCTGGCAGCTGCTTAAGTACAATAAGCAAACAATTCTATGTAAGCTGCACATCTCTATGAAACAGGTATTATTATACACAAGGGATAGGACGGAATCTGTAGAGGTCTAAGAGGAAGAACAGTAAGATACAAGCCATCTGACTGCAGATCAGTATTAGAACCAAGTATCATCCCATCCATATATGTGTGTGTGTACATATATATGCTGTTCTACGTGTACTAATTTTAATTTTACATAAAGTGAAATACTCTTTCAGTCGTCTCCATGTGACCCTATATTTAACTTCAAAATTTAAGGGTAGTTTAAATAAACTAGTCTTAATTAAAATGTCTTAGAAGTAGTAATCTTACAATTTGCAGGAGGCATGCTTATCCTAAATTGCTAAGCCAGACCATACGATCCATGTTTTTTCTAACCGTTTTTCATTGTATCTCCCCCCCCCCCCCGCTTTTTCTTCATTTCTAGGTGCTTTTAAGCCCTGTGAATATTTACTGGGAAGCTGGATGATTCGCCTTACAGTGTGGTTCATTTTCCTGGTCGCCTTGCTTTTCAACCTACTTGTCATTTTAACTGTGTTTGCATCTTGTTCATCACTGCCTGCCTCCAAACTCTTCATAGGCTTGATTTCTGTGTCTAACTTACTCATGTGCATCTACACCGGCATCCTCACTTTTCTTGATGCTGTGTCCTGGGGCCGATTTGCCGAATTTGGCATTTGGTGGGAGACTGGCAGTGGCTGCAAGGTAGCCGGGTCTCTGGCAGTCTTCTCCTCAGAGAGCGCCGTGTTCCTGTTGACGCTGGCAGCTGTGGAAAGAAGCACATCTGCAAAGGAGATAATGAAAAATGGGAAGAGCAGTCACCTTAGACAGTTCCAGGTTGCTGCCCTCGTAGCTTTGCTGGGTGCTGCAGTAGCAGGCTGCTTTCCCCTTTTCCACAGAGGGGAATATTCTGCATCTCCCTTGTGCTTGCCCTTCCCTACAGGAGAAACACCAGCATTAGGATTTACCGTGACCTTAGTGCTATTAAACTCACTAGCATTTTTATTAATGGCCATTATCTACACTAAACTGTACTGCAACTTAGAGAAAGAAGACCTGTCGGAAAACTCCCAGTCTAGCATGATTAAGCATGTCGCTTGGCTGATCTTCACCAACTGCATCTTTTTCTGCCCTGTTGCATTTTTCTCATTTGCACCGTTGATCACGGCAATCTCCATCAGCCCCGAGATAATGAAGTCTGTTACACTGATATTCTTCCCGTTGCCTTCTTGCCTGAATCCGGTCCTGTATGTTTTCTTCAACCCAAAGTTTAAAGAAGACTGGAAGCTATTGAAGCGGCGTGTTACCAGGAAACACGGATCTGTTTCCGTGTCCATCAGCAGCCAGAGTGGCTGTGGGGAACAGGATTTCTACTATGACTGTGGCATGTATTCCCATTTGCAGGGCAACCTCACAGTGTGTGACTGCTGTGAGTCATTTCTTCTGACAAAACCAGTATCGTGCAAACACTTAATAAAATCACACAGTTGTCCTGTGTTGACAGTGGCCTCTTGCCAAAGACCAGAGGTCTACTGGTCTGATTGTGGCACACAGTCGGCCCACTCTGACTATGCGGATGAAGAAGACTCCTTTGTCTCAGACAGCTCTGACCAGGTGCAGGCCTGCGGACGAGCCTGCTTCTACCAGAGTCGAGGGTTCCCGCTGGTGCGCTATGCTTATAATCTACCAAGAGTCAGAGACTGAACTACAGTGTCTCTAACTGTTTTCCCCGTCGACCAAATCACAGGGCTCATGCAGTGAGCTGGCTGTCTTTCGACCTCTCATATGAGAAGCACTTCTGTGATCACTGCCTGGTATCATACAGAAGAGGAAGAAGGCAGAACTTTGTTTCTCAAGCCAGACATTTGTGAAGAATGGGTGCCTCAATTAAAAATTGTTGGAAAAAAATGCAATGTCCCAGCAATGTGTGCTCTATTTGAAATAAATGCAACTTAGAAACGTTTTGATGTATGGCATAGCAATATACAATTAAGAGTTGTTGTTTTTTTTTTTTCCTAATCCATCAGGTGCAAAGTTCAAACTATTTCTGAATCAAGCACAAAATAAAGGACAGCTGTTAATATTTTTAAGTGAAAATGTGAATTTATAAAACTAAGTAAAAGTCTTGCTAATTTTACCTAATGTTTCATCGTTAATCTCAGGATGACTCACTGCAGGGCCAAAAAGGGATTGTCTCCCAGCTAGAGCTATGTGAGTTCAAACAGGCATTACCTTCATGTGTTTGCTGTGTCCATAAATCAAAGGTTTTCTTCAAATGACTTAAAAATCTAAAACCTGAAGATGTTTTGAGAACAATATTAACAGCTGTTAGATTTTTTTTAAGAAAATAGCAGAACATTTGTTTTTGTTCATTATATATTGCTTTGGGTGAAATCAGTGATTTTTCCACTTCAGTGTTTTACACTCACAGTACTAGGACAAAGCAAAAGGCTAATTGCTATGTGGGCTTAGCAAAGGTGACTAAATCACTAAGTAATATTGAGATTTTAATAATATCTAAGGGGTTTGATGGCTCTTGTAATGTTCCCATTAATTGACACTTCCTAATGTCATTGGTTGCACTGACATTTCCAATTTTAGTGACATGGTATCTACAGTTTTGATTATATAGGAAGTAAACTCAAGTAATTTTATGTAATTGTAAGAAATTTGTAATCATGACACAAAGCACTTAATTTTTTTTTTTTTTTCTTAGTGAGCTGGAGTCTCTTGTACTGTTATATGAAAACTTCAATATATTTTTCCCATCCTGGAATTAAGAAAAAAGTCAGTAGCTCAGATGCTGTGTGCTTTGGTTAAAAAAGACACATATTATGAGTGGGGGAATCAAAGCTTGTCCTATGTCTTTTAATTTTTTTTTTTCAGATTACTTGATTCTTACCTATAGGCTTCTGTTGTGTTCCTGTAACGAGACTTAATGCTGTTAAGTCAGTAGCAAACCCACTGCCATCTTAGTTATGCTGGATTGCAGTTTGATGATTAAACTGTACATACTGTGCATATGATGAATTTCTATCTCATGTAAATTATTTTTAGGACACAAGTTGGGAAATGTGGCTTCTGTTCATTTCGTTTAATTAAAGCTACCTCCTAAACTATAGTGGCTGCCAGTAGCAGAATGTTAAATTGTGGTTTATATACATGTTTTTGTTTTTGATTTTGTTTTTTTTTTTCCTTGCATTGTAAATAGTCTTGGTTGTACATTGTCAGTGAAATAAGAACAGAATCTTTGTATATCAAAATCATGTAGTTTGTATAAAATATGGGAGGGATTTATTTACTGTGTGTTGTAATTTTGTAAGGTCATCTATTTACAACTTAAATATAATGTTTGTATATTTACACATCTGATAAATATTAAATCATAACTTGGTAAGAAAATTCCAATTAAAGGCTTTCTTCCTAAAATTCAAGTTATTGAAAACTGTTCATTTTGTTCTTTAAGAAATAGAATAGTCTGGACATAATGGTTCAAACCTTTAATCCCAACACTCCATGTGGGAGGCAGAGCCAGATGGAACTCTTATGAGTTAGAGGCCAGCCTACATCATAAGAAGTTCCAGGACAGCCAAGGCTTTGTAGAGAGACTGTGCCTCAAAGATAGATAGATAGATAGATAGATAGATAGATAGATAGATAGATAGA